CCCACCAAAAGGAAAATGTTGGTGAAGGTGCACCAAGTCTTTTCTTTTTCTTTTTGGTGACTCCACACCTGAGGATATTTTTCCATTGCTCTTTAGTGAGAGAATGGAAGGGAGGGAGAAGGGGAGGAGAGAGAGAAACATCAAAGTGAGAGACACACATAAACGTTCCCTCCCGCATGCGCCCTGACCAGTGACAGAGATCAAACCTGCAACTGAGATACATGCCCTTCACTGGAAATCGAACCCATGACCCTTTGGTCCGCAGGCCAATGCTCTAACCAATGAGTAAAACTGGCCAGAGCCACCAAGTCTTTTCTGTCCATTTAACACACATTTGAAATACTTGTAGGTTTGGGGAAGGGCTATAATTTTGGTCTTAAAACCTCTGAAGTAAATTTCAAAGCTAAAATGTAAAACATTTTTGACTTTGTGACTTTAAATAGGTCGTGCCTTGTTCACATAGTTATTTTGCTGAAAATACGCCTTGCCTATTCTAGGCTTAAAAAAGAAAAGATGTACATCTGTCTGCCACTGAGAGTGGGGAACAGTTTTAATCTGATTACGGGGTTGACTTTGGTATATGTCGTAGTAGTGGTGATGTGTCACTAATGATATAGCAGCATTTTACTGTTTTGCATGTCAAAGTCCTAGGTACAATGCCCTTATCCCCGGTGACTGATAAGGGCATTTACTGATACTCGAGTAATAGAATATTGTGTGTTTTCACTGAACACTGTTTCTTTCGAAGCCGAATGCAGTTACTGGTTTCAGGGGAAGGGAACTAAATAATCCTGTAGTTTAATAATAATGTTGATAAATGTGTGTGTCCTCTTTCTTAAGGAATCATTTTCACCTTCTTGGATTTGACTCATTTTGCTTCTCTTTGATGTCTGGCAAATGAGAGCAAGTAAAAGCTCACCCCTTCTTTGTATGTTGCTTTTGCATGATTAGTAGACAAATACAGAATTGTACTTTGTGGGAAACTGGAATGCCACTTTCTTAACTGTGGTCTTTTTGTGTGTTTTTGTGCAGCTGGCACCCTCTCTTCCTTTACAAGAAGATTTCGTTTATCACTGGAAGGCAATTACCCACTACTACATAGAGACTTCGGGTAAGAAACAATGCTGATGCTAATTACACAGAAACATGTGGGATACGAAAATGTATTTCAGATTCGTCTTCAGTTATATTTAAATTTATAAGCAATTTACTTTTAATTCCTCTTTTAGATTCATTAAAAAAAACACACCTAGTGAGCACCTCCGCTGTGTAGGCATTTTTCCAGGCACTGGGGGATAGAACCATCAAAAAGACAAAATCCATAACAAAATTAATACATTGATTGGGGGGAAGCAAACAACAAGTAGACAGATACATACAGTGGGTCAGATGGAAAGTGTTAAAGAGAACATGAAGCAGGTTGAGGAAATAGAAGTGTGTGCTGGGAGTGGGAAGATGGCCTTTGTAGGTCAGAGAAAGCCTCATTGCCCCAGGCCAGGTCTGAACTGAAGTCTGAGGGAGAGAGGAAGCAAGC